GAAGGAAAGAAAAGTGGGACAAGGAGACGGAAGAGTGAAGGAAAACAAAGTGATGGAGGGAAGAGCACAAAAACGTCGGGAACAAGCAGGAAAAGAGCAAAAGAAAACCAGGGACATGCCATTAATGATCGTTGCAGTGTTAATGTCTCACCACATTCCTGCCACACAGCGGCACCAGAGCGAGTGCCGCGGGATGGGCACCCCCGTCCCCCCGTCTCCAGCCCCACTATTCCCCAAGGAAGGGGTCTATGGAGGAGCTGGGATCCCGCTTCCCAAGGGAGCCGCGGCCGTACCTGGTTGGGGATGGCTCTTTTCTTGTTGGCCTGGGTGTTCCGCTGCTGCGCGCTGTGGGGAGGAGGAGCAGGGGCACGGTCAGGGGAGGGAGGCAAAGCCAAGAACCCCCACGACCACGCTTCCCGCCCGGAATGCCGCAAGGAAGAGCCGAGTCTGAAGGGGAAGCCCGTTCTGTGCAATCCAACCACAGGAGCCCCTCGGAGGGGTGGTGAGTCCAAAGGGATTCCTGCCGCAGCCCCTTCCACCGCAAGGCCCAGCACCACAAGGACTCATCTCCAGCAATTCCCAGTTCCCTTCCCAGATGGAAAAGAGCACCAGAGGGAAAGCTACCTGTCTCTCCTGAGCAATCAAAGGGGCGAGGTGCGGGACGGAACCGTTAGTCGGGAGCAGGAACAAAATCCAGGAGAACAGTTAGAATAATGCCGGGATACCCCACGGAGCAGCAGTTACAAGCACAAAGAGGGGGCCCTTTCCTGGCTCCTTTTCCCACCTCCAAAGGAGAGGGGGGGAATTCGGGAGAGCGCTCTCTCCTCACGGTTCCTCCCTCCAACCTCGGGATACGGGGCTCGAGGCATCCCTGCGCCGCGGCATCCCGCCGGGATGAGCTCCACTTGCCACCCAAATCCGAAGGGGAATTTGGGAGGAGAAGCTCCCTGGCTCTTCCCAAAGGTCCCTGTGGGCTCGGGGAAGGGGGACCCGGAGCGGGCGCGAGCGGGGCCATGCTGCAGGAGCAGGTACCCACCCGGTGGTGACGTGCTGCTCTGTGTAACAGCTGGGGAGTGGGAAGAGAGTCGGAGGAGTCCCGAGGAAAGAGGGAGATGGTTCAAAGGAAAAACAGGAGAGATTAGGAAGAGAGGCGGGAACTGGGGAGGGAGGGGAGAGCAAGAGACACGACAGGAAAAGGTGGGGGAGAAAGAGAGAACAAGAGGGAGACGATGTGAGCTCAGAGAGAGGAGGAGGAGGAGGCTGCTGAAGGGGGTGAGAGGCTCCAGGAGAGCTCTGGGAACACCAGGGCTGCAGCTCTGGATGCTTCCGGAGCGGTTTCGCACGCGCCGGGGCTGCGCCGAGGGCCCAAAGCAAGGAAAGACTAAGAGGAGTCCCCCGCCCCAGCTTCCTGGTCCTGATCCTGGGAGGAGCTCAAGGGATGGGAATGTCTGTGCTCCACTGGGACAGGAGGAGTCGTTCCACCTTCCCTCCAAATTCCCAGCGCGCAGGGCCGAGCAGGGCTGGCAGCTCCCGGATCCCACATCCGAGGGATGGGGGGGCACAAGGTGCTGCTGTGCTTTTGGTGGGAGGCAGGAGGCTCCTGCAGCAGCTTTCCTGGGGGTGAATCCCTTGGCAAGCACCGGGAACCTCACTTCTAAAGAGCCTGAGGAGTTATCCCACTGGGAAAGGACTCACTTGGCAAACCCAATGAAGTCCTCGTGGTTGGTGTTGATGTAGGAGAGCTCGATGTCAATGAGCAGCAGGATCTGGAAGGAGGTTCGATGTTAGGAGCTCGGCTTCCCTCGGGAAGAGGAAGGGATGAGGGGGAGAGGTGCTAAGCTCACCTGGTCCTTGGTTTTGCCCTCGCGCTCCCGGATGTGCGTGGTGACGATCCGCTCCGTCTCCTCCCGTAACCTGGGGTAGGAACCAAGCTGAAAAGAAAGGGAGAAGATCCAGGGGAAACCCGCTGCTCACGGGGAATTCTACAGGAGGAAAAGGTCTTTGTGGGGCTGCAGCTGAGGACACGGTGCTTTGGGACCACGAGGGCTGGTTTGAGCCAAGAGCTGGGCAACCCCTTGTGCCACGAGGCTGAGCTCACGCCGTGTCTCCATGTGCCGGCATTCCCGATGCTCATCCGGGTGGACACAGTGTCCCCCACCATGAGCCACAAGCTGGAGGGTGAACTCGGCTTCTCCATACACCACGTTTCAACCCATCCCTGGAGCATCCGTGCTTGAGGTGGAAGGAATCCCATTGGGAAGTGCTGTCCTGACCCACGGGAGCGAGCGGAGCGCTCCTGCCGTGCCCGAACCACGTTGGCATCTAACCCATCCCGCTCTTGGGCATCACCCCTACGGATCCCACCACCTCCTCGCCTGGATGCGGCTCATTCCCAGTAACCAAAGCGCTTTTCCTGCCCCGTTTTCAGTTTTGGTGCTGCCAGGATGAGGTTTGGAGTCATTCCAAGCAGCTGGTTATTAACCATGGGAACAAGAGCCCGCAGCTCCCGGGCGATGAGCGCGGACAAGGATCACTGCAGGGTGGGACGTGGATGTCGGGGCGACATCCTGGGGGATCCAGCACCAGGAGAAGGTGCTCCGGGGCAGAGAGACGGGTCAATCCCCCATCCCAGCAGCGGGAAGGGGCTCGGATGAGCTCTGCCTGGCTCAGTACCTTACTGGTGCACTGCCGCACGGTGTTGATCAGCTCCTGGATGACGAGGTCGACGCACTTGAGACACGGCTCCTTCAGCTTCACCACCTGCTTCTTCACGATGGCCTCGAATGCCAGGTCTGGGGTGAAGAGCCCTGTCCTATGGGAATGCACGTGGGGGAGATCACGGATCAGGCTTGGGGGCTGCATCCCGGAGCAATCCCCTCCAGCCCTTTGCATCGGGGTGTTCATCCCCTCCTCCTCCGCGCAGGAATGGGAGAGGCAGCACGTTGGCACCGGGTGGGCGTTGGCACCGGGTGGGAATGGGAATGAACCCCTCTGGGGCACTGGGTGCAGGTCAAGCAAGTCTTGGGGAGGTGGGAGAGCAGAGCTCTCTTTCCTCTCCCCTTCCCCATTGGAAGGGCTGCTCCCACACTCGCCTCACTCCATGAATGTTTTTGATGGCGTAGCTGATCTCTCGCCTCAAATCCTTCTCATCAAACTCCATCTGGACGAGGAGGAAGAGGCACATGGAAGGGGTTCAGTGCAGCTCCTGCCCAGCCCCGGGGCCCTGCTGGCGCTTCCCACCTGGATTTACCTTCACCAGCTCAAAGGGGAACCTCTCATGGAAAATGCGGTTGATCCGGGCGCCACCGGAGAGCTCCAGCGTGTCCACCTGGTCCCCGGAGCCCTCGATCCGCTTCTCGAAGTCCACACCAAACTGCTGGACCATCCTGTGGGAGAGAGGCTCCCCCCCCCGC